AGAACTCATGTTGATTTTCAGATTCCAGGATGAGTTTGCAGGATTGGCAATTAAAACAAACCTTTTTCCCACTTGGAAAGTAAGCAAGAAGTGTTAGACACAATCATAATGGAAACCCTCCTGCTCCGTGCCATTTTTGCAATACTTTTTCAGTGTGCATCTGCACTTTCAGTCAAAATAAACCAGGAAACTGTCTGTTATCTGGGGCAGTTGCTGGCTGTCCTACTTATGGGAATGAAGCTGTCTGGCCTGTCAAATAAGATAGAAGGGTGAAGGCAACTCTAATATACTGCATTACAGACACAGGAAAAACCTGTGGCCTTCTTCCAAAGTGTTGCCACATAATGGCTATTATGGACCATAGTAACTACAGAGAGGCCCAGATAAGGATTTGGTGTATTTAAGTCTTTCAAACAAGATTGGATGTCTTTCTAAAAGCTATACTCTAGTTCCCCGAAAGTTTCTGGTCTTGATACAGGAGTGGCTGGGTGAAATTCTGTAATCTCTGTTATGTAGACTACATGATCATAAATTCCCATTCTCACCTTCAACTTCATGTACTCATTTATTAAACAATCTGAGAGGGTACAAGTTGATGGTTATGTTTTTGGCTTGCCATTCTAAGAGTGTGCCCTCCAGAAAGCAGTGCATTCACTTCTTCAATACCTGTGATAATTATGACTTGTGTGGGGAATTCTTCTTTGTATGTGTGGCTGGATATATGCAGTTTAACCTGCTACACTTAGTTTTTATTATGTGCAGATGCCTATGTGGTTCTCAAGCCAAAATTTGGCCCTTCTTTTTTAAAATACCTTTTGGCATACATCAGTTCTAACTAAGCCAATAGAAACTTGCTCTTAACTTTGGCTGTATAGTAAGTCAGTCTTATCTGGACTCTGTTGTTGGTGAAGTGGCAGGAAAATTCTCCATTTTTTACAGAGCCAACTCATAAAAATGTTTCTTATTTTTTGGAATAAGATATTTTTTAAACTGATTTAGTATAAGCTTTTCATTTTAAAGTTTTAGAATAGACTTATAACTAAATAATAAATACTTTGGGAATGAACACAGGTCCATAAATGTAACTGTTATAAGAGATCATATTGAAACAGAAACTTAGGAACGACATTAATGATCTAGCCAGAGTCTATTTTGGGTATCAATAAATCAGTTTCAAGTTTTCCCTCCTCCTCATTCCAAATGAATTAATCTTTTAAGCCAGTGGTAACAAGCTTTTCAATTGCCAGTCATTAATTTCATGATTGGAAAACAGAACTTCTGAGGAGTCATCAGCAAAAAGATCTCTAATCTCATTTGTTAACAGTCTTCCATGTGTTAACTATCACATAGAAAACCCCAACTGGAGTTTTAGGGCCTTCTCCTCTTTCTTGCTGTTTTCACTCCTGGCTATTTCTAACAAAATAGACTCTAGCTATATTCATAACCAACAATAACATTAATAAAAAAATCTGGAAGAAGTTTTGTGCCTATTCAGCTTCCTGATGCTGTCCACTCATCCTGTTGATGATTGACATTCATTATCCTTCCTGGCAGGTGTGTGTGTGGGCGTGGTCATGTTACACATACAGTAACATTTCATTCTGGGAAATGTTTAAGAAATACATGCAAGAACTCTGCAAGTAAATTACCTATATTATTCATATTGGAGTCTACATCTATAGTGGGGACTCTCTTAAATGAATATAAGAAATTCACTGGACCAAATTCATTTCTGGTTTAACTCCATTGATTACAATGATTACAAGGGATTAATTTGGCCAGTTTTTGTCTATTTAGTCATACAGGCCAATACACCATATTAAAAACTCTTAAGGGAAATGGCAACAGTAGAATTGATCTTTTCCATGTAACGAACAACCTTCTCCTTATTTCTGCTGAAGGCACTTTCTCCCTCCTGGTTTTCCTTGGCCTTAGTGCAGCCTTCAGTATTGTGGATCACTTTCTCCTGCCGGTTTCCACCTGTAAACTTTCTGCTCTTACCTGTCAAACCACTCTTCTGCTAGAACTGGCTGCATCTCAGTGGATCCCATCAAGGTTTAGGTCTTAGCCTCTTTTCTCTTCTATCCAGCTTCTCCCTACCTTTTCTTTTAGTTGCCACGCTTATGATGATGATCAGCCATTCTATACCCTTTGGTACCTTTAATGACTTCTCTCTGTTCCTCTCACTGTCTGTCATGACCAAATAAACTTCTGGCTTCATTTCTGCTTCTGTAGACATTGAATTGAAGAGAGAAGGGATTCTCTTGAGCAAGAAAATCCTCAAATGCAACTCCATCCCCTCTATTTCCTCCTCCAAGACCTTGGCATCGTCCTGGGCCCTCTTATTCCTGCTGATCTGTCTATCGCCAGCTTCACATCCCTGCCAGTGCACTGCCTTGACTGAAATCCTCATCTGTGTTGTCTTCTCCCATCCTTTCAATTTGTAGTGCCACCTTCTCCGTGGCGTCCAAGTTCCAGCTCTCTAGATTTTAGCACGTGGAGAACGCTGCTGCCCATCTTCTCACAAATGCAAAGAAGTTTGATGGTAACAAAGAACAACACTGTCCTGCCTTGCACTCATTTCAGGTCTAGTCCAAATTTACCATGTTTCTTTTTTTAAAGTATACCTTATAGACTAGTTTTTGCTCTTTTTACCTTCCTTGATGCTCCCCCCACTTACCTAGCACTGACATCCTCTTTGTCCCTTCAAGCAATTTCTCTTCTGCTGCAAGAACCTTCTCCTCTGCATCTCTTGCCATCTAAAATTGTGTTCCTGTATCTCTTCAGTTCATCAGTACTCTGTCATCTGATAGCACACATTTTCTCCCTTTCGTATATGTATTAATTTCTCTCTCTGCATTATTATTATTTATTATTATTTTATAATAAAATATTTTTGATACAGCTTGTATAAAATAGAAGGCAGATCAAGCTTCTATTTAAGTCATTGTGAGTTTTGCCACTAACTTAAAAATGTGAGCAGGGTAGGACCTTAAGGTCATATTCTATTAGACATTGATCTATTTTGTTTATACCAATAGTTCCCAAGCTGTCATCAAGTAAGCATCAGTTATGCAAGAAGCTCTTGCTGGTTACCTGCGGAGAGCTGGCTGATCGTTTAATGCTGGTTCTCCTCCTCGAATCCAGCTACTAAAATCACATTAAAAGAAGTTATAATATTAAATACTTTCTCAATATTATTTTTAGTGTGAGCTGTTTTAACTGTCACAAGGATTTTGTTCTGGAAGGGGAATTGGCTTGCATGATAATGAATGGGAAGGAGGTGATCTGTGAGACAATATCTTTATTAAGGTGTGGTCAATGCTATGGAAAAGTTAGAGAACCCCTGGTTTATACAAAGTTAAAATCTTGAATGAAAAACAAGTGTCTCGTAAAGCAGCATGCACATGTTATAATGGATGCAAGATTGTGTATTATACTATGCGCAGTGTACTGGTGGATCCCATGTGCTGTAATTTACTACATTTGCACTTACTGACTTTGTTGCCATTACAAATTACAGTTTTAAAATTTGGACCATATGAAACTAAAATGCTATCTTCCAAAATTTTAGCCGTAGAGTCTCTGCCGGCTTCTGTGCAAATTGATTGTGACATTTGCCGGCAGTGGTGTTGATCACTGTGTCTGCTGCACTCCAATTTAAATATACTTCACTGTGTACAGAGGAGCCATAAAATACACTTTCCTAATGCCTGTTGTCAGGAAGACTCTCTGCTACCACAGACATACGCTCTGATGTGAGAGTCACTTAGGCTACGTCTATACTGCATACCTTACAATGGTGCGGCTGTGCCGCTACTGCCGTGCTGTTGTAAGGTATGCAGTGTAGCCATTCTCTTCTGCCAGGAGAGAGCTCTGCTAATAACAAAATAAAACCATCCCTAATGAGGGGTGGTAGCTTTGTCAGCAGGAGAGTGTTTTCCACCAACGAAGCGGTGTCCACACCTGCACTTTTCGTCATTAAAACTTTTTTTCACACCCCGAGCGACAAAAGTTTTTTAACGACGAAAGTACAGTGTAGACATAGCCTTAGACTGAATATGCTGAAAGAGTCTGTTAATGTTGATGCTCAGAGAGGGCTGATTGACAGGCTCAAGAAGAATAGATCTCCTTTCAGAGGCAAACTGTCAATGTTCTGTATCAAAGGTTTGAGAATAGTAAGAGTTGAAACCATGCCCTCCAAAAACACAGGCATGAAGCGATATGCTAAGCAGTGTAATGATGGGTGGGAAGAATATTTCCAGTATCTGAATATAGGCATTAAGATTTGTATAGGTGCTCTATACTCAGGGCCGGCTCCAGGCACCAGCAAAACAAGCAGGTGCTTGGGGCGGCACATTTCTAGGGGCGGCATTTTGGCGCTGGCCATCATAGGCGTCGACTCCGGGGCATGGGGAAAAAGTGCCCCCGCCACCCCAGCTCGCCGCCTCTGCTCGCTTCCACTCCGCCTCCGCCTGCTCCCCTGAGCGTGCCGCCGCCGCTCCACTTCTCCCCCCTCCCTCCCAGGCTTGCCGGGCGCAAAACAGCTGTTTCGCGCAGCAAGGCTGAGAGGGAGGAGAAGCCGAGCGGCAGGCGCTCAGGGGAGGTGGCGGTGGTGGAGCGGAGGTGAGCTGGAGCGGGGAGCAGTTCCTCTACCCCCTGTTACTTCCTGCGCCTCCCACCCTAGCTCACCTCCGCTCCGCCTCCTCCCCTGAACGTGCCGCTGTTCCGCTTCTCCCCCCTCCCTCGCCTGAGAGGGAGCGGGGAGAAGTGG